ATTCTTGTAGTAGCCAGTCATACTGACATTTTTGTTTTGGTTTTTTCCTGATGATCTTTCTTTGAAGATGTGTCTTCTGTCACTGTAGCTGTTCCAGTCTGCTTGTCCTTGCTAGTGGGAATGTCCCACCTCAGAAGGTTCTGGATGGGACTCAAGATTCCACCTAAGGTCCTATACTCTGCAAAGGCTCCACAAGAGGTCTATTTCACTGGACAAGTTCTAGAACCCCATTTAGGTATTCCAGTCAGTTATAGGCTAAAAATGGGCTTACAAGTTTTCTGTAATCATGTTTCCTAACATTCCTTTCTAGCCCCCTTAAGTGTCTTATTTTACAATAGTAGGCAAGGGAAATAAATATTCATATGACAGTCAAGCATTAGTATTATTTACCCTCTTCAAGCTATACCTAGATCCCTGTATCCCAGAGCCCTGTTGTTCCAAGGTTGAGCTTACATCACTATTTACCTCTGTCCCACTTAGGCCATGCAAACCTGTCTCATTGTTTCCCAGTCTACCTTGTTCTTCCACCTCCTCACCCTTTTTGTCTTGCCCTCACCAACACCTGAACTAAACCCACCACCCCAACCTCACAGCTATGGTTACCTTATGTTCCATTAACTTTTCCCTCTATTTAAGACAGTCTATTTTATCCTGTAATCTACCTGACCTAACCACTACCTAGATCTCTGTTCCTCTGTGTTTACCTTCTTTCACATTGTAATTGTTTTTATCATAAACTGACCTCCCAGATCCTCTGTTCTTACAATTTTATTCTGTTCTTGATTCTTCCATTTGTCAATTGAGTTTAGGGTGATGCTGCCGTGTACGTCAGTCTCTGGTTGTTGTCTGTTCTTGTTGGTTCTCAGTCCACAGATCTCCCTTTAGGATGTTTTTCGTTGCAGGGTTGGCTTTGGAAAAATCCCTTAGCTTCTGTTTATCCTGGAATGTTTTGATTACACTGTCATATTTATTTGACAGCTTTGCTGAGTAGGGGATTCTTGGTTGGCAGTTTTTTCTTTCAGGGTTTTTTATATGTCTCACCATTGCCTTCTTGCCTGCGTGGTTTCTGTTGAGAAATCCGAGCTTAATCTGATTTGCTTGCCTTTGCATGTTACACTTCTCTTTTCCCTAGCTGCTTTCATTATTCTTCCCTTATGTTTGATTTTAGAGATCTTGATTATGATATTTCTTGGTGATTTTCTTTTAGGGCCCATCCTTCCTGAGGTTCGTGAGCTTTTTGAATGCTTATCTTTTCACTTTTCAGGATATTAGGGAAATTTTCTTCCAGAAGCGCTTCAACTGTCTCTTCTGTGGACTTGTGTGATTCTTCCTGTTTTGGAATGCCAATAATTCTTAAGTTATTCCTCCTCATGTTGTCCAACATGAATCTTAGACCATCTTCAGATTTTTTTAATCCTTTTTTCTGCTTATTTTTCTTAGTAGTATTGAGAGATTTATCTTCCAGCTCACTAGTTCTCTTCAGTTCTACTCCTTTGCCCTTTCAGTGTATTGTCCATTTCTGATATTCTATTATTAATTGTTTGGACCTCTTTCTGTAGATTTTGAATTGTTTCCAATGCTGTATCTATCTTATTTGATTGTTCCTGTAGCACTTTCCTGACTTCTTCCTTATTTTTCTCAACTCCATTGTGAAGTGTCTTGATACATTTTATAATCATTTTTCTGAATTCCTTCTCAGGCATTTCCAAAGCCTGCCCTCCTTCCACTATGGAATGTAGGTCTGCCTCCGGTTCATTTGTCTCAGTCACTTTATCTCGTTTCTGAACATGTGCTGATATGGTCATCTGCTTCTGTTTTTTGGGCATATTCAGTAGTTGGCTGTGGCCTTAATACTTACATGGGTATACGTTTAGATATTTTTTTATGCTTTCTGATTGCCTCTATAGTCTGCCTGTCCCACTCCACAATCCCCGTTCAGGCTTTTTACCTAGTGATAAACAGTTCAGGGACGGCTGTGGCTGTTTTGCGCTGCTGTTTGGTTTTAAGTGGAAACTGTCCCTTTAATTTTTAGGAGATTGGTGCACATGCATATTAGTAGGAACCCTCTGGGGGTGGAGATGGGGTGTCCACTCCCTCAGGCTCCCCCTCTAGTCACTAGAATGGAGGTGCGCAGACAGCAGGGACCAATGAACAGATGAAAAAGAAAAAAAAAGTGTCCACACATTTATCTCCATGGTTCTGTCAGGCATCCATGACTGCTCTGATCCGTCCCCCACTCTCTTTTGCCCAAGATGGCTGCTTAGAGTTATGGGATGGTCCTGTGAGCCTGCTTGGTCTAGTATTCTGTGTTGTTGCTGACAGAGCTCCTCACTGCACTGCTACCCGATCCACCATCTTATTTGTTCTCCGCTGTATTATGTTTTTGGTGGAGGCTTACACAGCAGTTTAGGTTCTCATTACAACCATTTTCACACAAATTGTTCAGTGACATTAGTTATATTCTTCAGTCTGAGAACATCCTCGGTTTTTCCATTTTGGTTACCCAGTTGCCATTAATCTAGTTTTCCTGTCCTCTTATGTTCTTGTCTTTGTTTTAAAGTAATTATTGACCAGTTCGTCACCTAGAGATGAGTTTTTAAAGGAACAGTACTAATGGGTGGTATCCATTATTTTGTGAGCCAATCTGTTATTGAATTAAAAGGTAACCTCTCAAGGACTAGTTTTGGCTCAAGATTTAGAGAGTATGTCATGGAAATAGTCCTGAGGAATCCTCTAGTCCTAACCAATTCAATAAGTGCAGTCAACTTAAATACCTTGAACAGGAAAGAATAGTTTGATGATGATGGAAGTGATGGGAAAATTTCTGCTAGAAATAACCTTTTCTAATATCCATGTTTGGAAACAAAGATTTCTTCATGGTAATGCCAGAGGTATTGTGAAGAGAGATATTCACTCAGACCATTGTTGTTAGACTTGATGATAAGCTATCACTTTGTGCTTTTTCTGGGACTTTTGTTGTTGTTAGTGCCTTTAAGTTGGTTCTGAAGAGTGCCCTTGTATAATATTTCCTAGGGAACTCTGGTAACATAGTGGTTACAAATCAGGCTGCGAACCGTAAAGTCAGCAGTTAGAAACTTCCAGCTGCTCCATGGGAGAAAGCTAAGGCTTTCTATTCCCGCAAAGATTTACAGCCTTGGAAACCCTGTTCAGGGTTGCTATGGGTTGGAACCGACTCGATGGAACTTAGCAACAACAACAACATAGTGTTTCCTGGTGTGGCGCTGTGGGCTAATGCATCAGACTGCAAAGTCGTTTAAACTGCAAGATCAGTGGTTCAAGCTCACCAGCTGCTCCTTGGAAACCTTATACTGGGTCGCTATGGGTTGGAATCGACTCGATGGCACTTAACAACAACAACATAGTGTTTCCCAGGGGCATTTGGTGGGTTTGAATCACCGATTTTGCGATTAGCAATCCATTGCTTATCCTAAAGTGCTGCACCAGGATGTTAATGTTAAGTACTGTGGAGTCAGTTCCAACTCATAGTGACCCTGCACAGGTTTCTGAGGTTGTAAATCTTTACAGGAGCAGAAAGCCTCATCTTACTCCTGTGGAATGGCTGGTAGTTTCGAACTGCTGACCTTGAGGTTAGCAGCCCAGTTCGTAATCACTACGCTACCAGAGCTCCTTTATACCAGGATAGTAACCAATTATTTGTATATAAAAAAAGCAGACTACTGGTTAAACTTTGTATTAATGTGCTTTCCTCAGTTAATGTAATTTACTATAGATGTATTGTACATATTGATAATATGTAGTTAGTTGTATGTCAATGATATTTACATTTTTTTTATAATAAGTAACTACTCAAGGTACCTCAAACTAATTCTCTTTATAATAAGTAACTACTCAAGGTACCTCAAACTAATTCTCTATAATAAATAACTACTCAAGGTACCTCAAACTAATTCTCTTTATAATAAGTAACTACTCAAGGTACCTCAAACTAATTCTCTTTATAATAAGTAACTGCTCAAGGTACCTCAAACTAGTTTTGGGAATAATTGGTAAATATAAACTTGAGTTCTTAAATTAAATAGATCTCTTCCCACTTTTCTTCTTCCAATTCTACAGGGAACCCAAAGAAACTTTCATAAATCACTCCCATTCAAGTCAATTATAACTCAGAAGTACTCTATAGGACAGAGGAGAACTGTCCCATAGGGTTTCCAAGACTGTAATCTTTAGGGAGCAGATTGCCACATTTTCCTCCCAGAGCAAGCAGGTGGTGGGTTTGACTTACTGACCTAGCAGTTAGAAGCTGAGCACTTAACCACGGTCCTACCAGGGTTTCTTGATAAACCACACAAGGAATGAAAATCCTTCGCTGTCTGTTTGATCCTTTTGTACTTGTGCATCCCTGGAGCAAGCCATGCCTAGTTCTCCCTGCATCCTCTGAAAGTGTCTCCTCACCTGGGTTTGATCACTGGCCCTATTTCTTTAGGACAGCAATTTGTGCCTCATGATTTTTAGTTCTCAGTTAATATTTTTCTTTCTTGTAGCCTGGTTTCACCGCTGCTACACATTCTCCTGCTTTTTACCTCAATAAGCCAGATGAAAGTCCAAATTCCTGGATATCTGAATCAGGAACAGGTATAGTACTTTTTTTTTTTTTGAGTTTTTCTCCCCCCCACCAGCTGGTTTTTCTCGTTTGATTTCTCAGTGTCCGATGCTAACCATGTGTCTGTGAATGTGTTGTACATTGTTCTGACAGAGGTAACTTCCTAGACGGAACTTTGTGTTACAAGTTCTGTGAAAGTAGAAGGAAGACGTACTTTTGGAACTATTGAAAAAAAACCCCAATATGAACACTTTCAGTCACTACAAAAGGAAATCCCGCATTCAGAAGCTCTGGGGAGCATTGAAGGAGTGCTGGTGCATGTAGTTGCTAAAGTGCTCGTTGCTAACCAGAAGGTTGGTAGTTCAAACCTGCTATCCACTTTGAGGGAGAAAGATAGCAGCCTTGGAAATCCTACAGGTTGTTTGGAGACCCACTCAATGACAGTGGGTCTGGGTTTGGGAGGCGTTCTGTGTCAACAGGCCACTGAGGGTATATCCCAGTCTTAATAGTTTTACACATTGACTTTTTCTTTCGTTCTGTAAACAGCCCCTATCCACCTCTTCAGGATGTTTTCTATCTGTTTTCAGTACCCAGTCATGTCTCACCACCTCCACTGTTCCTACCTTCCTAGAGCCACCATCCTCTCTGTCACCTGGATTGCACTCATATTTCAGATAAGCCTCCCTGCTTCTCCTTGGCCCTGCGGTCTTCTTGACACATTAGTCAAAGGGACACTTTGTCCGAGAAGTCAGTCTCTGGAACTCCTCTGCTGGAAGCCACAGTCTGGCCCTGGCCTTGTTTTGACTGATGATACGGAATTTTTCCACCATCTCTTCCCACAGATGTAGACAGTTTGATTTCTTTTATTCCATTTGGTGAGGTCCATGTGTACAGTCATCCTTTATGTTGTTTAAAAAGATATTTGCCCCCCCCATCCAAAAAAAAAAAAGCTAAAGAGGATAGAGAGAAACACTGTAAACTGATGATATATGGAGGGGATAATAATCAATGTAATGAAACAAGCTATATGAATGGTTGAATGTGAAGCTGATGATGTGCCCTGTAAACTTTCACTCAATGCAAAATAAAAACATTTAATTAAAAAAAAAAAAAAAAAGATATTTGCAATGAAGGAGTCATTGGTCTTATTAAATGTATCATGGAATCTCCAGCATCATTTCTATCACCAAGGGCATATTTTCCAACTACTAATTTTTCCTCTTTGTTTCCAACAATACATCTTTTTTTAAAGTTTTTATTGTGAATTGAGTGATAGTTTATATGGGAGAACATTAACTTTACGTTCATCCTATCATATTTCATTTCATTGCAGTGATTACAATCCCCTCCATGCATCATCATTCAACAGCATTTGCTTCCATTCCCTCTGCTTTTTTTTTTTTTTTAATGTACACCGAAGCACTCAGGAATATATAGCCATTCAAACAAACAAAGGGTATACCCTGCAAGCCTGCCCCCTGGTTGCCAGCACACAGCCCCTCTCTCCCTGAGTCCAGAGTCCCCAGCCCCGCTCCATCTCTCCACATTATCATCTCTGGCATTGCTGTTTCTCTGGATAGGGTCCTGCACTCCACTCTTCTCCCTTGATGGCCCCAGAGGTCCTCCCCCTCCTGACTGCAAGATCAACCACTCCCCTCCTTTTGTTAGAAAACTTCTACCTTTATTCAGTACATATTGATGACGTTTGACCAATTTCAGAAGAAGTTGGTAGAATTCTTCAATTTCATCATCATTGGCTTTAGTGCGTAAGTTTGAATAGTAGTTGTATTAACTGGTCTTCTGCTAGGCATATGGATATTACCATATCACAGACAGCATTATCCTTCATGATAGATCTTCAAATGTTCTTTTTGATGATGAATACAACACCATTCCTTTTCAATTTGTTATTCCTGGCATAGTAAACCACATAATTAAAAATGGGCAATACCAGTCAGTTTCAGCCTAGGATATCAACCTTTATGTGTTCCATTTCATTTTTTGACAACTTCCCAGTTTCTTAGATTCATACATCATATACTCCATGTTCAGATTATTAATGGATGTTTATAGCTGTTTCTCCTCATTTTGAGTTCCCCATCATCATGTCTACCATGAGGAGGCAGCTCTTCTTCAATCGTATTTTGAGTGCCTTCCAACCTGAGGGGCTCATCTTCCCATACTATATCTGACAATATTCTGATGATCTTCATCTTGTTTCAGTATTTAATATTCTGGTGCTGACAGTATTCCACTGCTATTCATAAGGTTTTCAGCGGCTAAACATCCAGAAGTTGTTGCCTCTTTTTCTTCCTAGTCTGTTTTACTCTGGAAGCTCAGCTGAAATCTGTCCATCATGGGTGTCCCAGGCTAGTATTTCAAATACTGGTGGCCTAGCTTCCAGCATCACAGCAGCCACTGCATTAGGACAAACGGACAGGCAAGTGGGGGTGGGGGAGTCTAGTACTTACCACTTCTAATGTGCTGTACCCGTGAGTCGGAACTGACTCATGGCGCTTAATAGTAACAACTCCAGAATTGATGTACTCTTTATATCCCTCCCTCCCCAGCCGGCATAGTAGACGCTCAGTGAATAATTGAATTGTTTAATCTGTATGTTGGGACTTTGTTTCAGTCTGTGTCATTATTGGTGTTAAGTGTGGTCGAGTTGGTTCTAAATCATAGCACCCCAGTATAGAGTTTCCAGGGAATGGCTGGTGCATTTGAACTGCCAACCTTGTGGTTAGCAGTCCAGTGCTTATCCTACAGCGGCGCAGCAGGACTCCTTTTCAGTCTGTACTATTCATAAATAAATTAAAAAAAAAAATCTAATGTCTACTTTACATTCCACTGCTATATCTTGACTTTCAATAATATTTGTTTTGAATATTTGCATCCTGAAGTTGGGGCTCTTAAATGGGAAGGCATTTATAAGAGGTATTTTCTATCTTGATTTAACTTGCTGGAACCAGACAGCCATAACTGAGCTATTTTGCAGCTTTAATTTTATTGAGGTAAATAAATCTAGAAAGCTTTTTTGTTCTCTCTTCCCACTCTTGTCCTCTGCATGTTTGTGCACATTAGGACTGACTTACTGGAAGCTGGAGGAGAAGGACATGTACCATTCCCTGCCTGAGGCCTTAGAGAAGACCTCTGTACCATCCTCCTGCACGGAGCTCTCGTCAAGCCAGGTGATTAGAAACAAGTGATGTGTATGTGTACTTGTGTTTTTACAATTCTAGCTAGCTTCTCCATCACAGTATGCATTTGGTATTTTTCAGCTCATAAGAGGTGAAAAATTCCATTATCTTTCAATTCCATTTTTCCACAGACTCTTTGAAGCCCCATTGTATGTAAGAATGTGTTGGTGTTTGGGTGGGGAGGTATTTAAGTTCAAGAGAAGCCCAGAGGTCTTTCATAATTTTGGCAGATCCCACAGACATGTCATTTCATTGACATATACTCTGCCTGGGTTTCTGTGTGACCCTGTTTCACACTCTGTCTCTTGTCATTTGTTAGTTATGTCATTTTTTTAGGAAAGTTATTTAAAAATGGAACTGGAAACACCTTCTTTGTGTTTTGCAAAAATTGAATGAGACGGTTTTGTGCTTACTACTTCATATAGTCAGGTGTCAGCTCTTCACTGCTTCTGCTTTTCCTAGTCCTGACATTGGTTTCCCATCCTCTTATGTGCCCCACGGCTTTATTAATGGACAAGTGTAAAATATTTAGTTCCTTTTAGAGCAAAGAAACAAAGCGAGTCCAGATATGTACGTTGATGTATATTCTGTATTGTGGTCAGGTAATGTGATTAGTCCGACTGGCTAGAAGGCCAGTGGTAGTCTCCTAGTGATACAGTGTGGAAACAGTATCACACACCGGTTAACAGACAGGGACTATTGCACTGTTCTGGCAGTCCCACTCTCTTTGAAGGGTCTAGGGAAGAATCCTTCCTGGTTTTATCCAGCTTCAGGTGGTTATCTGTAATCCTTGGTCTCTTCCTCATCTTCACATGCCTATCTTCCCTCTGCATCTGTCTCTACGCCCATATTTTACTCTCTTTTTATAAAGATATTAGGGTTCACACTACTCCAGCATGATCTCAGCTTATTTTGGTTACATTGGTAAGATCCAGTTTCCACAAAAGTGACAAAATAGATCAATGGGACACACTGAAAATTAAAAACATATGTGCATCAAAAGACTTCATCAAGAGTAAAAAGGGATCCCACAGAATGGGAAAAAATCTTTTGCAACGATACATCAGACAAGGGACTAATTTCCAAAATATATAGGTACCTACAATACCTCTACAAGAAAATGACAAATAACCTAATTAAAAAATGGACACAAGACATGAATAGACACTTCACCAAGGAGGAGATCTGGGCAGCTAACAAACAAACATATGAAGAAATGTTCACGATCACTAGCCATCAGAGAGATGCAATGAGATATCATCTCACACCGGCAATAATAGCAAAGATCAAAAAAGTAGAGGACAATAAATGTTGGCGAGGATGTGGAGAGACTGGGACGCTCCTACATTGCTGGTGGGATTGCAAAATGGTCCAACCACTCTGGAAAACAATATGACGCTTCCTCAGAAGGCTGAAAATAGAGATACCTTATGATCTAGCATTTCCTCTACTTGAAATACAATCCATAACACGAGCAGATATATATATGCACACCAATGTTCATAGCAGCACTATTTACAATAGCAAAAAAAAGGAGACAGCCTAAGTGCCCATCAATGGAAGAATGGATAAACAAACTGGTACATATACACAATGGAATATTATACAACCCTGAAGAATAACAAGGAAGCAGCAAGCCACCACATAACATGGATGAACCTTAAGGACATTATGCTGAGTGAAATCAGTCACAAAAGGAGAAATATAGCATAGGACCATTATTGTAAAAGATTAAGAAAAAGTACCCACACTAAAAGGGGGAAGAAAAAAATTATTTAATTTTTTTATCTTTTATTTAAACATTTTAAATTAATTTTTGTTGGTTACTGGGGTGTATGGGGTGAGGTGAGGTGAGGGAGTCAAAGGTGGAACACAGGGTAGGGAATAGACAGAATACTTTGGGTGGTAGGGGGCCAGACACTACAAGGGGACGGGGAAAGGAAAAGCAAAGCAGATGGGAGAACAGCTAGGCAGGTTTACATGGGCTAAATAGGACAGAGGTAAATAACAATGTAAGCACAACCGTGGAACAACAGGGCTCGTAGATACAAAAACTGAGGCATGGTGTAAATGGGTAAACGTGGGGAAATGATGTTAAGATGCTTGGCTTTCTTTTGAATCTTGGTTTCCCTTGCCTACTATTTTAAAATAGATACTTTAAGGGGAGAGAGAGGAATGTAACCAGAGAAAGCTTGTAAGTCTGTCTTCAGCCTGTAACTGATTGGAATACCTAAAATGGGTCTAGAGCTTGCCTAGTGAAGGAGGCTCCCTGTAGAGCCTTTGCAATGCATAAGAACATAGGTGGAATCCTGATCCCCATCCAGAATCTATTGAGGTGGAACTTTTCCACTTGAAAGGACAAGCAGACCAGTCTGGAGTAGCTAGAAGAACAGAAGATACTTCTTAAAAGAAAAACCAGCAGGAAAAATAAAAAAACAATAACAGCATTCCAATTGACTACTACAAGAACTAGCATGTTGTTCCCTAGGGAGCCATCAAGGCAAATGGTCAGGTCCTCTCAAGGCAAACCCCATTCCAAGACTGAAACTCAATTGGAATACTCTAGCAGGCATGTGATCTTGCTGCTGACCACATTGGTCACCGATAAGGGGAGGTTGGGGGAAAAACAGCAATGAAGTTGTGAACTGAGTCCGACCACATTCAATAGACTCCTGTTAACCTGCATTGAGACCTGGTTAACCAGCAGTATGACGAGACCTAGGGACTCCTGGTCCAGGGGCAGGAATATGGCCCCAGAGGAGTAGAATGGAGTGTGAAGCATCCAGCTGATATGAAATGAGGGGAGATGCACAAGAACACAAGAACACCCACACTTGCAGATAGTACCCATTTGACCTGGCATCAATGGCTGGATGATGAAAACATGACTGGAGCAAGAAAGAAAAGGAACCAAAAAGAGTAACCCACTACAAGTGGATGAACTTGACCTATGCTTGTGGATGCAGTATGACAAAGGAGTGGACAAATCTCTACTTTGAGGATCATTCCCATCCTTTTGGTACACAGGGTCAACAGGGATGGGGAACTTAGACATTGGCTACCCAAAATGGGGGGACTACAAAGGCAAGAAGTGACTGGCTTACAAGCTTTCAATAGGGAAGATAGCACCACAGGGTACAGGGAAAGGTAGGCTCTCCACTGAATTGTTTCCAACCTGTCTGGATGGGGTTGACAAAAAGTGAGGGGGAAAGGACTCCGTGGTTCAATAGGGAACGATTGCTGTCAGGTCTGACAGTGAGTAGTGGAAAGGTGAATGTAAATGTTTGGTAACAAGAGGAGTTTTGCAGTCCAGGAGTGGAGATCCCTGGAATCATCAAGGGAGAAAAGGGAAGTGCAAGACCCTGTCTGGGGAGGCAGTGACACTAGGGGTGGACACAGAGACGATGATGTGGACAGAAGGAATGGCTGGGGACTTTGCACACAGGGAGGGAGAGGGGCTGTGGGCTGGCAGTCAGGGAGCAGGCATATGGGGTGTACCCTTTGGTTGTTTGATGATGCATGCAGGTGATTGTGATCATTACAATGAAACAAAATATGAGAGGATGATTGTAAAGATAATGTTCACCCATGTAAACTAATACATAATTCACAATAAAAACTTAATCCAGTTTCCAAAGGAGGTTACATTCACATGTATGGGGATTAGGACTTCAGTTTATTTATTTTTATTTGTTTGTTAAGTGCCGTTGAGTCAATTTCAACTCATAGTGACCCTGTGTAGGGTTTCTGAAGCACGGCTGGTGAGTTTGAACTGCCAACCTTGCACTTCAAACTGACCTTTCTGTCCAGTGTGCTATTCCACAACACCACACGGGGATGCAATTCAACCTACAACAGAGGCACACGATTAAAATAACCAAGAGAGATGTGAAAGTGAGATTGTGGCTAGACTAGAAAGTTTTCTAGGCTATGTAACTAAGTACAAGACTCACAGATTTGGTAACTTGGTTATGAACATCAGTAAATCAATACTGTATGTTGTTGATTTTGAGGACTAACATGCCTGGCCCAAGCCATGGTATTTTCAATAGCCTAATATGCGTGTAAGGAGCTCTGGTAGCATAGTGGTTATGAATCGGGCTGCGAACCTCAGGGTCAGCAGTTCAAAACTACCAGGTGTTCCATGGGAGAAAGATGAGGCGTTCTTCTCCTGTAAAGATTTACAGCCTCAGAAACCCTGTATAGGTTCGCTATGAGTCGGAACCGACTCCACGGCACATAACAACAACAACAACATGCATGTGCATACCAGGGAGCTCTGATACAGTGTAGTGGTTATGAATTGGGCTGCTAATCTGAGGGTCAGCAGTTTGAAACTACTAGTCATTCCCTGGGAGAATGATGAGGCTTCCTGCTCCTGTAAAGATTTATAGCTTTGGAAAGCCTATACAGGGTTGCTATGAGTTGGAACCAACTCCACGGCACACAGCCACCGCCAATATGCATGTGAAAGTTGGATAGCGAATTAGGAAGATTGTTGAAGAATTAATGCATTTGAGTTTTGGTGTTGGAGAAAGTACTGTGGACTGCTTGAAGAACAAACAAATCTTTGTTGGAAGATGTACAGCCAGAATGCTGCTTAGAAGCCAAGATGATGAGGCTTTGTCTCTCATACTTACAACGTGTTACCAGGAGATACCAGTGTCTGGAGAAGGACATCATTCTTGGCAAAGTGGAGGATCAGCGGAAAAGAGAAAGACCCCCACTGAGATGGATTGGCACAGTGGCAGCAACCATGGTCTTAAGTGTAACAACCATTGTGAGGATGGTGCAGGACCAGGCAGGGTTTCATTTTGGTGTGCTTAATGCTTGGTCGCTGTGAGTCAGAACTGACTGGATGGCACCTGACAACAACAAGATGTTAGCAATTTTTAAGACTTCCTGGTTTACATTCTACCAGGAGAGTAAATCCTTAGTGGTTAGACTGAGACGGTGCTTCTTTTTATGGTTTAGAAAACTTTTAGACTTCAGCATGGATGTTATTATAAACTCTTACACATACTTAAAAAGGTAAACAAGTGAAATGGTGAAAACTTCGTCAAGTACCCAGGCTCACATTTCTCTCTTTAGCTTGTTATTGGTTTCGTTTTTTTCCACATCCAGCCTTCCTTTGTACCACTACAAGCATTGGTGATTTGGTGGTTCTTTAAAAAAAAAAATCCACTCAAGAATAAAACGTCTTGGTGCTTTGCTCTAAACTGGCCTTGTGGTGGTATAGAACAAGCCTACTTTTGACTCCTAGATGGGGACCGTTGCTCAATGTGTCAGGTCTACCATTTTCTTAAATTTTGGATTCTTAGGACTAATAATGTAGTCTCTAGGCTTTCCTTTCAGGCTGCTGGCCCCCATTTGGCCAGTTCCAGTGGCACTGATTTGCCCTTAAGCAGACAGAATGACAGGTGTGTCCCCACCGCTGTTTGTTCTCGTGTGATTTTAAGATACTGTTGATTACAAGATGTGTACCTTCACTTCAAAGATGTTGAATTCTGAAAAGAAGAGGGCATCATGGAAGTGGTAGGAAAATAGAAAAATTCCAATTGTTCACCCAGGGCAGCAGGCAAGGAGGCCTGGATTCCTCAGGCTGTAGGCCATGGCCAGAGTTCTGCTCCTTGGCATAAGCTTCAAGGCTTGTAAAGGGACTTGTGACACTTAGCATATTAAAAGTAAAATTCTAAAACAGGAATACAGAAATTATGGTCATTTTTATGTATTTATATTTAACAAATGAGTGTTTTTAATGCACATACACACACAACACAGTTGTCCTATTCACAAGTTAATGGTGTTGTTGTTAAGTGCGGTGAGTCAATTCCAATAGTGACCCTGTGTAGGGTTTCCGAGGAGCAGCTGGTGAACTTGAACTGCCGACCTTGAAGTTCAAATGGCTTTGCAGTCTGGTGCATTAACCCACAGCGCTACACCAGGACTCCAAGTTAATGATAGGGTTTGTTAAAAAAATAGTAATTTTTGGTGCTCATCATCCTATGTAGGGTCTGTAAATGGGACATTAAAATTTGTAAATTTAAAACTGTGTGGTGAATGTTTTCTCTCAGTGTCTCAGGTTGAATTTAAATCTTGCTTGAGAGAATGTCCGTAGTTTAAATTTCCAGTCCAGGGCTAATTAGTTTCTCTGGTCACATTCTATAATAAATCTCATCTGGAAATTAAGCCTAGGAAAGCACCCATTTCAAGTTCTGTAAATTCAGTAGAGTCTTATCTTCTTATTTTACTAATTAAATTATTGTTGTTGTTCGGTACCATACAATCAGTTCTGACTCACAGCAGCCCTGCATACAATTTCCAAGGAGCCGCTGATGAGCTTGAACTGCCAACATTGTGGTTCAAACCGACTTTGCAGTCCAGCGCATTAACCCACAGCGCCACCCCAGGACTGCACTAATTTAGTTAGGGCCTTGTTTTCACTGAGGAACTTCTTTCTTAACACTTGGGTGTGTCAACTCTTTCACAAATCCAGGAATATAAATACACGGATGAGGGTCTTCAATCCCATAGTGCTTCTCATCCTGCTCAGTCATTCATTCCAAAACCTTTTTTTCTTATTTTGAGTGGGGGGGACTACCAAAGATTTTTTGCTTCAAAAATACTTAGTAATATAGCTGCAGAATATCCACATAATAGTCATTGTTGTTAAGTGCTGTTGAGTCAGTTCTGACTCATAGTGACCCTGTGTAGGGTTTCCAGGGAGTGGCTGCTGGGTTTGAACCATCAACCTTGAAGTTAGCAGTCTAGTACTTATCCTACAGTGAGGCCCATTAGGACTTCTAGTTATTGTTGTTGTTAAATGCTGTAGAGATGGTTCCAATTCATGCCCTATATAGGGTTTCCATGTACCTCGTGATTCAAATGGACCTTGTGGTCTACTGTTTATGCTACAGCACCACAACACAACTCCAGTCTATGTTTTATTTGTTGTTAAGTGCCATCGAGTTGGTGCCAACTCATAGCGATCCTGTATAGGGTTTCTGAGGAGCAGCCAGTGAGTTTGAACTGTTGAACTTGTGGTTCAAACTGACATTGCAGTCCAGTTGTTAGGGGCTACGCAAATTGATGGCGACTTACTGGCTAATATTATAAACCTCCACACTCTTTTTATAATGCTAATCTTGGTGGCATTAATTTTTTTCACAGTTGGTAATACCATTTATATAATAATTTTGTTTCGTATCTTTAAGTCTAATACTAGTAATGAGATGAAGCTACCATCACTGAAGGATATTTATCATAAAAAACAAAGGGAAAACAAGCAGTTACCTGAGCGGAATCTCACCTCTGCTTCCACTCCAAACCATCTACCTGAGGTAAAGTTGGCAGCCTGCTGCTGAATGACAATGCGAGATTCATGATCCTAACCGTTATCTTAAGCTTTTTTTCTCCTTGGAGATCTAAAGCCTACTTGCTTAAAAATAAACACAACCAGTCCCAAGTAAAAGGGAGAAACCTAACTGTTGTCTGTCTTATTTCTAGGTACTGACTCTTGATCCCACATTACACATGAAGCCAAAGCAGCAGATTTCAGGGACTCAACCTCATGGCTTTGTGAACATCCTCGATGACCGAGTTTCATTTTCACCAGACTCTGTTCTTGAACCTAGTGTATCTAGTCACTCTGACATAGACTCATTTTCTCAAGCAAGTAATATTGCTTCTCAGTTATCTGGATTCCCAAAGTACCCTTCAAACATGAAGACTTCCCCGGTGGACTCTTGGAAAAGCCATGCATTCCAAAATGAAAGTAGGACCAGTTCCACGTTTCCTTCATTGTATACTGTCACTAGCAATGACATCTCGGTCAACACTGTAGATGAAGAAAACACTGTCATGGTAACTTCAGCCTCAGTCAGTCAGTCCCAGCTTCCAGGTACAGCCAACAGTGTCCCAGAATGCATTTCATTGACTTCCTTGGACGATCCTGTGATATTGTCTAAGTATGTATTTCAGTGAATAGTTTGTAATGTTTATAGATTTTCTGTTAAGTCTGTTTGAGTGAAGAGAATTCATATTCATTTGCAGTAATGTTTAAAATCTTAAATTGAAAAAAGTAACATAGCACTTTAAAGAATGTTTAAAAATGTCTTTTTTTTAAAAAAAAAAATCATTATTTTCATCTTTCTGTGTAGTAATCTATTAGGTTTTCTGTAGGTGGGCACAGCTGTATTTTTGCCTTTGAGAGTGATATGTTCTTGGTTTGCTCTTTTGGGATAGAGAGGCAGGGCATGCTTTCCTCAAATGGTTTTCCTTTCCCTGACAGGATTAGGCAGAACCTGAAAGAAAAGCATGCTCGACACATAGCGGATCTTCGCGCATATTATGAATTAGAAATAAGTGGTTTGAAACAGAAGCTGGAGGCGAAAGAGATTTCTGCAGTTGAAGAGTGGAAGAAAACCAATCAAATTCTTGTAGACAGGTATGAGTTAAAATGGAACTTACAGTTGATGTTTCTCCAACTTGGATTTGCTTTTACCTGAGAAGTATAGTATACTATGATGATAAGACACTTTGAAAATTATTCTTTGGATTTGAGCATTTGAACACAGATGTTTGTTTGCGTAAGTAGTTATTTTTTAAAGTAACTGACATATCGCCATTTGTTTCCTATGGCAAAATACTGAAAGAGTTGAACATATTTTGTGTAATGTCACGTAACTGTAGAGCTATAGGTTCTCCTTGATTGGCCTGTGATTGATGTCTTACAGCAGACAGTATCAGCCTGTTTTTATACCTAGACACAACACAGCATTAGAAATAGCCCATGTTCTGAGCCAGGCTTCTTGGACCTGTGCAGGCAGTTGGCAGTTGTCCCACTCAGTAGCCAAGGTCTCATGTTAGTGATTGATTGCTTTACCCCTCCTTTAGAGAGAACCACTGACATACTTGATGCTTTGACTGGTAATAGTAGCCAAGTACTTGCATCTTACTCTTGCTGTTCATTGGCGCGTCAGCAGATTGAAAACTGCTACACGTCTTCATGGTTGCAGGCCAAAACAAAACAAACAGAAGACAAACTTCCTTTAAAAGAAGTTAGCATGGAGTGGCAATCATCTGGTCTACTACTTTGTAACCCTCAGAAGTATGAAGAAATTCACCTTTTGCTAAATAGCATTTGGTTGCTATGGTCTTTAGCAGAGCTGTCTTGTTCCCACAGCTTCTGTTTTGCTTTTCCATGGAGGTGCATTGGTTGTGAAACATAATTTGAAGAGCCAGGAAAAAAGTCAGGTTTAGGATTTTTAGGACAATAAGGGAGTGGGAGATAGCAGGCTAGGGGAAGTCAGTTGTATCTTTTAAGAAGGCAAAGATGACACAAGCACTTTGAGTGGGAAACCAGAAGTATGAGATAAGCCGACAGTGGACTCTATTGACGGTAAGGTTAAAGACAGAAGGCGAACAAGACTGAGTGAAACACTGGCCCAAAGAAGTCATCCAGTAAACAAGAGCAAACATAATCTTTTTTATATCTCCAACCTGCTAGAGCTCTGTAGGGACAGAATGTGGGTGGAGCACATTGAAAGTTAGGTGGTAAAAATGATGGCCGTGTGGTAGCATGGTGTAGGGTGTTAGAGTAAATTTAACAATGTCATGCAAACCAATCACGATACGTGATTGTTTTTTTTTTTCCTTTCCCAGACGGATTTGATGTGGTTTACAGGTAGGTGTCATTGAGCATAGCACGAACAGCATGAAATGTAGCAGTTATTTAGAACTGGAGAAATGACGACCTGAGACAGAAGCCAGTGTTACACCATCAGCAGATACACTTGTCTTTGTTTTTTCAACTTAAATTTTCATAGTAGGGGATTCCACTGGTGCTGTAATGGGGCCAAAGGCACATAAGTGGCAGGCCAGCTGTGAGATCAGCTGGTTGTGTCTTTTCATACAGTGACTTGCGACTTGGGGACATGGCCTCTGGCATACCATATGGGTGAAAAGAAGGCGACACAGTTACAACTCTTAGACCTGACTATTTAAGGGATCTTTCAAGAGCAATTAGTATTTCATTTCATCAGAATTAATCCCTAAGATGCATTAATGCAGAGTGGGTTTTTAGTTATTTTGTTATTTTGAGGTTCTACAGTAACTGACCGTACAAAGTTTTTCATTATAAGAATTGCCCATTCAGGCTAACTTTGAAGTAATACATGATTATACTCCAGCTTCTAGTATACTTCATCCTCCTGTATCAAATCTCAGTTAATGCTTTGCATCTTTCTTAAAGATCTTTGTGCATATATGAGGATATATACATACTCTGTGTGTGTATATATGTATGTGTATGAGGAGGCTTTAAAGCATTCATGGATAAATTCCATTATCTTTTAATTCCATTTTTCCACAAATTTTTGAAGTCCCCTCATATGTGTATATAAATATATATACATATTTATATTATTTTTCGTAGCTTAAGGTCAGGCTGCCATGCATATTCTGTTTTTTCGCTTAGTCTCTGTTAGTGATCTTATGTGATTGTTTTGAAGCCTGTTGCTGTTAAGTGCCGTTGAGTCAATTCCAACTTACAGCGAGCCTGTGTAGGCTTTCCAAGGAGGGGCTAATGAGTTTGAACCTCTGACCTTGTGGTTCAAACCTACCTTGCTCTCTGGTGCTCTATTCCACAGTGCCACACCAGAACTCCTGTTACTTCCTTTGAATTCTATACTATTAGCTGATTGGGGTGATTTTTATAAAATGTCATTCTAAATCTTCGTGGACACTGGAGAATTTCTTATATGTTCTGTATTGGAGAATCATCCTAACATTGTTTATTTTGGATTTCTGATTTTTAGATGTGGCCAATTAGACAGTGCTCTCAATGAAGCTACCAGTTGTGTGAGAACACTTGAAAATCAGAATAACCTACTGGAAATAGAAGCAGTAAGTACTCCTGCATCGGTGTTCTAATGACTTCATGTTAAAAAGCCTTTCGTGAAGTGCATTTTAGACACACATAGTTTGCTGTTAACATTGGTATGTGTGTCTTCTTTAGAATGTTTTATTGCTAAGTAAGTTTATATTTTGAGTGTTGTTGGCATCATATGGCATAGTTTGACTCTTTAATTCAATTGAGATATAATTTGCATACCATAAAATTCACATCTTGAAAGTATACAATACAGTGGTTTTCCAGTATATTCAGTGTTGTGTAGCCATCATGACTATGTAATTTCAGAATGTTTGCATCACCCCCAGAAGTAACCCCATACCTGTTAGCAGTCAATCTCCATTCCTCTTCCCCAGCCTCTGGCAACCTCTAATCTCTCTCTCGACTGGCCTCTTCTGAATATTTCTTATAAATGGAATTATACCATGTTTGCCTCTTTGTGTCTGGCTTCTTCCACTCAGCATATTTTCAGGTTCATCCATGCTGTGTAGCATTATCAACATTTCATTCCTCTGTATGGCCAAATAATAATTATTCCATTGTATTGGTGGACCTGCTCATGGGCATTTGAATTGTTGACACTTGTCAGTCATTAAGAGTTATGCTACTGGCTACCTAAAATAATGGGGCGATAAAGGCATGAAGTTTCAATTGGGAGTTTAGTTTCAGAGTGTGTGAGGGAAGATAAAGTCCCCACTGAATAGTTTTCATCTTATCTAGACAGGTTTGGTGAAAAGAGATGGGAACAAGATTCTTATGATTCAATAATGAGTAATTGTTATCATGACAAATTGCGCTTGTCACAATTGTAAAGGTAGAAGTTTTGTAACAAAAACAGGGGAGCCGTTAATCTTACAGTCCAGAAACAGAGGACCCTAGGACCATCAAGGGAGAAGCGCACAAGCAGAGTACAGGAGCCTAACCAGAGATGGGGACATGGAGAGAGGAAGCAGCTGAGGACTCCAGACTCATGAAAAGAGAGGGACTGAGAGCTGGTAGCCAGGAGGCTTGCAGAATGTACACTTTGGTTGTTTAAATTATTTTATATAACTTGAGTGTTTTTGTGTACATTCCCTCCCAAAAAACCAAAACAAACAAAACAAAACCAGAGGGAACGGAAACAAATACTGTTGAATGATGATGCATGGAGGAGATTGTAATCCTGAAACCGTGGTGTAAAGCCGATGTTCTCCCATGTAAACTATCACTCAGTTCACAATAAAAATGAAACAAAACAGTAATGCTACTGAGAATGTCTTTGTATGTTTAGATTTTGTGTGGACCTATGCCTTCAATTGTTGGGGACTTCGTATACAGAGAACACTTGGTGTTGCGCTGTAGGATCAGCATTGAGACTGTGAACTACAAGGTCAGCAGTTCAAACCCACCAGCTTCTCTTTAGAAACCCTATACAGGGTTGCTGTGAATCTGTAACTGACTCGCGGCACTTAAAAACAAGGTAACATCAAACTGCTGACCTTGAAGTTAGCAGCCCAACTTGAAACCACTGTGCTATCAGAGCTCCTTAACATATAGCTTGTTGTTTTAAGTGCTGTCAAGTTGCTTCCAACCCAAAGCGACCCTGCATAGGGTTTCCGAGGAGCAGCTGGTGAGCTTGTGGTTCCAAGCAACTTTGCAGTCCAGCTCATTACCCCATAGCACCACACCAGGACTCCCATCATATAGCTAGGAGTGGATAAATGTTTGAATAAACCACCGTTTTAATGTGTTACCAAGTTATATTCTTCTACACATACCTTATGACCAATGTTTGGGTAAAAGTGCCTGTTTCATACTATCAATTGTTTTCCTGTTTTTGCTGCCTTGTCAGTTATTCTCGTTGGTAAGTACCGTTGAGTTGGTTCCAACCAATAGCAACCCAGTTAGGGTTTCCCAGGAGCAACTGGTCAGTTTGACCCACCAACCTTGTGGTTCAAACTGACCTTGTGGTCCTGTTCTTTATCCTACTGTGCCACACCAGGACTCCTCAGTTACTCTTATCCCCTCCTAAACTGTAAAGTTCATGAAGTCAAGGACTATGCAGCTTCCTAGTGTCTGGCACCAGAGGGTATTCGTTCAAGATTTAGTTGTTGAATGAATATCAATGTTATCAGATGCATTTTTTTTTTTAAGTTTTTATTGTGAATTATGTGTTACTTTACATGGGAGAACATTAGGTTTACATTCATCCTATCATATTTCATTTCATTGCCATGAACACAGTCCCCTCCACAAATCATCAACCAACCAAAGGTTACACCCCGCAAGCCGTTCCTGGGTCATCAGTACACAGCTCCTCTCCCTCTCTGGGTCTAGAGTCCCCAGCTGCTCCATCTCTCCACGTCATCGTCTCTGCCTCCATCTCTGGCATCACTGCTTCTCTGGATAGGTTCCCACTCTCTGCTCTTCTCCCTTGATGGTCCCAGGGACCTCCGCTCCTGGACTGCAAAGTCAACCACTCCCTTGGTTTTGTTATAAAACATCTACCTTTACCTTTACTACCTTTACCTTTACTCCCATCCTCACAGTCAGTCCTGATGGTAATTATTCACTATTGTACCATGAGAATCATCTCTCCATCTCCTTTCATCAGCCCCTTCCAGACAGATTGGAAACCACTCAGTGGAGAGTCTACCTTCCCCGGCCCCCTCTGGAACTAGGCTTCCTCTTGAAAGCTTGTAAATTAGTCATTTCTTGCCTTTGTAGACCCCCATTTTGGGTAGCCAGTGTCCAAGTTGCCCATCCCTGTCTACCCTGTGTACAGAGGGGGTGAGAATGATCCTCGCTGTAAAGATTTATTCTTTCCTCTTTTGAGCTACTACATCCATAGGCATAGGTCAAGATCATCACATTGTGTCAGATTACTCTTTTTCCTCTTCTTTCTTCTTCTAAGTCACTAAGTTTTGGAGTGATTTGTTATGCAGCTTAAAAAAAAAAAAAATCCATCAAATGGATTCAGACTGACAGAACCCCATGTGTGGACATGTAGAAATGCGCTGCCTCTAAGAGTTACCAGTAGCTGATTTCGCAGATTCCCAGGCCTCTCTTTTGGGTAGACTTGAAGCACCAACGTTTTGGTTACCAGTTGAGACCTTAACTGTTTGTCCAGGGACCGCATTATATAGTATAGATAACTAATACTCTGGGTGATTATGAGCACCTGTTTCCAGGTGCCACCAAATCTGTTCCCACTCGTTGTGTCCCTGTGCATAACAGAATGAAACACTGCTTGGTACAGCACCAGCCTCACAGTTGTTATGTCTGAGCTAATTGTTGCAGGCACTGTGTCAGTCTGTCTTGCGGAAGATCTTCCTCTTTTGTACTGGCACTCTGTCAAACATGATATCCTTCACAGAGACTTCTTGAAATTGTTAAACATTGACCAGTTCTTTTTAGTAAAGTGAGAACATTAGTTTTACATTCATCCTATTGTATATCATTTCATTGCCATGGTTACAATCCCCTCCATGTATCATCAACCAACCAAAGGGTATATACTACAAGCCTGGTCTCCGGTCTTCAGCACACAGCCCTTCTCCCTCTCTGGATCTAAAGTCCCCAGTTGCTCCATCTCTCCACATCATTGTCTCTGCCTCCATCTCAGGCATCACTGCTTCTCTGGGTAGGGTCCCGCTCTCGACTCTTCTCCGTTGATGGTCCCAGGGACCTCCGCTCCTAGACTGAAAAGTTAATCACTCCCCTCATTGCTACAAAACGTCTACCTTTACATTTCCAACCCTCACAATCAGTCCTGATAACAATTATTCACTAATGTAGCACAAGAGACCTATCCGCATTTCCTTTCACCAACCCCGCCTAGACTGATTGGCTAGTACTCAGTGGAGAGTGTACCTTGCTCCACGCCCTCTGGATCTAGGTTCCTTCTTGAAAGCCTGTAAGCCAGTCACTTCTTGCCTTTGTAGCCCCTGCATTTTGGGTAGCCAGTGTCTAGGTTACCCATCCTTGTCTACCCTTTGTGCAGAGGAGGTGGGAATGATCCTCACTGTAAAGATTAGTTTGTTACCAGATGCATTTTTAAACTTTGCTTTATTTTCAAACTAAGTGAAAGAATATGATGATCAATTTGTTTTCTACTAAATATTAACTGTTGAGCAACTGCTATCTTCTGTGACTCCTTGAATCATAGTGCCTCAGACATTATTTTCTGTGTTGTTGTGAGGTGCCATCTAGTTGTTTCTGACTCACAGCAACCCTGTGCCCAATAGAACAAAACACTGCCCAGTCCTGCACCATCCTCATAATTTTCCCTCCATTGAAAAGAACTTACTGCTCTTGTTTTTATTTTGTAGAATGATTTAAAAGAACGCTTCAGTGCAGCCAGCAATGCCTCGAAAATTTTACAGGAGCGGATTGAGGAAATGAGAACGAGTAATAAAGAAAAAGATAACACCATCATTCGGCTAAAATGTAGACTTCAGGATGTGGAAGACGCATTTGAGAATGCTTATAAGCTCTCAGATGAGAAAGAAGCCAGACTGAAGCAAGAAAGCAAGATGTTTCAAAATGTGAGTCACAAGTAATGCGAACTTAATGATATATGGTTGGCTAAAATTTATTTCTTTAGATATTCCACTCTTACAAACTAGTGAGACTTTTTAAAGATTTTTTCCTTTTTGTTTGACGTACACTGCCGTAACTGCAAATATGTGCCCTACTGATCCAGTCACTTGGGTGTTATCTCGAAGCAGGAAGACTGAGGTTTCTGAAGTGTGGTGCAAATCCCATGCCTTTCTATCACTAGAAGGTCAACTTTTGAAACCTTCTGTGTCTTTGGTAGGGTGAAAAACTGTGTTACCTTTTCCCATTGGTGAGTCTGGTCTACATGGAATGCTTGTTTTCTTTTCAAATGTTGGTTTCTTTGTATGTTATTGTTGTTAGATGCCATGGAGTTGGAACTGACTCGTAGCAGCGACCTTATGCACAGCAGAACAAAACAATGTCTGATCCTGGGCCAACCTCACTACTGGTGCCATACTTGAGTCCATTGATGCTGCCACCTGGCCAATCCATCTCATTGGGTCTTCCTCTTTTTCTCTGACCCTCCATCTTACCAAGCATGATATCCTGCTCCAGCAACTGTTCCCTCTTGACAATATGTCCGAAGTATGAGAGATGAAGTTTGAACATCTTGGCCTCTAAGGAGCACTCTGGCTGCACTTCTTCCAAAACAGATCTGTTGGTTCTTTTAACAGCCCATGGCACTTTTAGTATTCTCCTCCAACACCACAACTCAAAGGCAACAATTCTTATACAGTCTTCCTTATTCACTGTCCAGCTTTTGCAACCGTATGAGGTTATTGAAAATACCATGGCTTGGATCAGGCGCACCTTAGTCCTCAAGCTGACGTCTTTGCTCTTCAACACTTTAAAAATGTCTTGTGCAGCAGATTTGCCTAATGCAATGCATCATCTGATCTCTTGACTGCTGTTTCCGCGAATTTTGATAGTTGATCCAAGAACAATGAAGTCCGTCCTTGACAACTTCAATCTTTTCTCCGTTGATAAGAATGTTGTTTATTGGTCCAGTGGTGAGGATTTTTATTTACTTGACATTGAGATGCAATCCATACCAAAGGCTGTGCTCTTTGATCTTAAGTAAATGTTTCAAGTCCTCTTCACTTTCAGCAAGCAAGGTTGTATCATCTGCATATTGCAGGTTGTTAATGAGTCTTCCTCCAATCCTGATGCCAC